CTCGGTGTCCCCCCGGAAGAGCTGGAGGAAGTGTCCAGGGAGAGGGAAGTCTGGGCATCTCTGCTTAGACTGCTGCCCCCGCGACCCGGCCCCGGATAAGCGGAAGAAGATGGATGGATGGATGGATGGATGGTTTGGTCTCGCCACATGGCGTCACTGTGGCCTCAAAGCTTCAGCACTGCCACTCTGAGCTCCATTACTGATGTCTGAGGTAAAACACGCCCCCCTCATTAGCATACAGAGGAAGAAATGGAGAAATAAATAAATGTAGACAAATACAAATATACTTAAATAAATGTGAAAATAAAAAGTAGAAATAAATAAGTGGAAAAAACACAATTATACATAACAAATTTTTTATCCCACTTCTTTGTATATTAACTATGTACATATTTATTTTTTTACATGTCTTCGTATATTTATTTATTATTCTGTCAGCAACGGACGTCCCTTCGGCGAGCCTCATCTCTGCTGCTGAAGTGCTCCAGTGGCGGCGGGCATCAGAACTCCTGCGGTATCCAGATCCTGGTCCATATAATCCGCTCACTTTGACACCATTTTATTTTTGTGTTACGATGACGAATTGTCAGAGTAAAAAAGTTGCTTGTCTGGAAAACACAGCATCTTGTTGTTGTCGCCAAAATATTATTTATTCGTGTAATATTCTCATCAGCTTTGACACATTTAAATCTGCATATTTGTGATATTTACCCTGAGGGCATTTTTTTTTACCTTTAAAACAGGGCATTTTCCCCTAATCTTTTTAATGTAGGCTATACTTCTTTCATTTTAAATTCTTAAATTTGACCAATAAATTCAATTAGAATAAGACACTATAGGGCTATTCCCAACCAAATTAATCATTTACACTGAAAATTATAACCGCATTAAATAATGTTTGTTATGAGATTGTTTTAAATATATTTTCAATATACAAATAAAGAACGTTGTAAAGAAAGAAACCTTTAAACATGAAATATGCCGCCAGTAGGCGTCGGCAATGACCGACTTCAAGAGTGAGTCACTCATTCAAACGACTCGTTCACACCGGTGATTTGATCAGGAATGAGGCAGTTGTCTATGAATGGGTGATTGAATCTTTGACTCGACCGGTTTGTTTTAATCCGGCACAAAACTCTTTCACTTGCCCCTTCAAAAAAAATCTCTCTTCAGCTCGCTACAAATTTGTGCATATAAACAGAAAATCAGCATTTAGCCTACCTATTAGCCTGTGACTTTCTGGAACAATATATACAGGTCCTTCTCAAAAAATGTGCATATTGTGATAAATTTCATTATTTTCCATAATGTAATGATAAAAATTAAACTTTCATATATTTTAGATTCATTGCACACCAACTGAAATATTTCAGGTCTTTTATTGTTTTAATACTGATGATTTTGGCATACAGCTCATGAAAACCCAAAATTCCTGTCTCAAAAAATTAGCATATTTCATCCGACCAATAAAAGAAGTGTTTTTAATAAAAAAAAAAAAAAAGTCAACCTTGAAATAATTATGTTCAGTTATGCACTCAATAGTCAATACTTGGTCGGGAATCCTTTTGCAGAAATGACTGCTTCAATGCGGCGTGGCATGGAGGCAATCAGCCTGTGGCACTGCTGAGGTGTTATGGAGGCCCAGGATGCTTCGATAGCGGCCTTAAGCTCATCCAGAGTGTTGTCTTGCGTCTCTCAACTTTCTCTCCACAATATCCCACAGATTCTCTATGGGATTCAGGTCAGGAGAGTTGGCAGGCCAATTGAGCACAGTAATACCATGGTCAGTAAACCATTTACCAGTGGTTTTGGCACTGTGAGCAGGTGCCAGGTCGTGCTGAAAAATGAAATCTTCATCTCCATAAAGCTTTTCAGCAGATGAAAGCATGAAGTGCTCCAAAATCTCCTGATAGCTAGCTGCATTGACCCTGCCCTTGATAAAAAACAGTGCACCAACACCAGCAGCTGACATGGAACCCCAGACCATCACTGACTGTGGGTACTTGACACTGGACTTCAGGAATTTTGGCATTTCCTTCTCCCCAGTCTTCCTCCAGACTCTGGCACCTTGATTTCCGAATGACATGCAAAACTGAGCAACAGTCCAGTGCTGCTTCTCTATAGCCCAGGTCAGGCGCTTCTGCCGCTGTTTCTGGTTCAAAAGTGGCTTGACCTGGGGAATGCGGCACCTGTAGCCCATTTCCTGCACACGCCTGTGCACGGTGGCTCTGGATGTTTCTACTCCAGACTCAGTCCACTACTTCCGCAGGTCCCCCAAGGTCTGGAATCGGTCCTTCTCCACAATCTTCCTCAGGGTCCGGTCACTTCTCGTTGTGCAGCGTTTTTTGCCACACTTTTTCCTTCCCACAGACTTCCCACTGAGGTGCCTTGATACAGCACTCTGGGAACAGCCTATTTGTTCAGAAATTTCTTTCTGTGTCTTACCCTCTTGCTTGAGGGTGTCAATGATGGCCTTCTGGACAGCAGTCAGGTCGGCAGTCTTACCCATGATTGCGGTTTTGTGTAATGAAACAGGCTGGGAGTTTTTAAAAGCCTCAGGAATCTTTTGCAGGTGTTTAGAGTTAATTAGTTGATTCAGATGATTAGGTTAATAGCTCGTTTAGAGACCCTTTTCATGAAATGCTAATTTTTTGAGACAGGAATTTTAGGTTTTCATGAGCTGTATGCCAAAATCATCAGTATTAAAACAATAAAAAGACCTGAAATATTTCAGTTGGTGTGCAATGAATCTAAAATATATGAAAGTTTAATTTTAATCATTACATTATGGAAAATAATGAACTTTATCACAATATGCTAATTTTTTGAGAAGGACCTGTATATATATTTTTTACTATAAGCTATAGCAGTAAACCAGTCCCTCCAGAAAAACGCGATTATGCGATCGCTGAATTCAATGCAAAATCAGCCAAAGTCCGCATATTTATGCGGGGGTCGCATTTTTTTCAAATACTCCGCAATTTCGCCGCATAAATTGCTGATTTCCGCGCAAAATATGTGGGGCTTGCATGATTTCATAATCCCCGCATTTTCGTCGCAAAAAAGTCACATATATCTTAGCAGAAAGTTGGAAAATGTTGCGTTTGCTTCACACAAGAGCAGCCACTTCCCCCTGTTGCCATGGGAACGCTATGAAGTGACGTAATTACGCGACGTGAACATCATTGAAAAGCTGTAAAACAGGAGCACACTTTATTTTAAAATATTTCATTTATTCATTTTTACTGAAGTTGTAGCATATTCCTCTAGTAAAGCTACAGAACTTGTTTGACTCAGCAATGTTTTGTAAGTTTGATGTGTTTATTAAGGTCTTGTAACGCGTTGTGTCAGGAAGAAAAATAGGGATAGCTCACAGCTGAAGTGATTGCAGAGGCCAGACAGACTCACGGAGGCAATTGGCATCTCACAACTCGCACTTTATTCGCAAATCGAACTCGTAACTGTCTGTCACACGTTCTACCGTCCACGTCGTTACTTAATAAACAAAATAAGATAAAAGAAGTAGCATCAAACAGAAATTACCCGCACACATGGGGTGTTCGAGGCGCATGGCACATATAATACTGCAGACAGTTAGACAGGGAGCGCGCAGCTCTTAAAGGGGCCACACCTTATTTCCACTCGTTACAGTCTGAAATAAAACAAGATGAGAAATTAAATATTTCCAGCACTTTCTGTGATGTAGTATGCTTGCTTATCATAGGAAGTAATAAGAAAGGACTCTTTACATTAAGGTAGTAGCCTGGTGAGAACAGGGTGTTGGGGGAATCACTTTTTTTTCCTCTTTTTCATCAAACCGCAGTTTTTGCAAGTTCCCGCAATTTTTGCAAGTTCCCGCAATTTTTGCAAGTTCCCGCAAATTTTGCAAGTTCCCGCAAATTTTGCAAGTTCCCGCAATTTCATCGCAAAAAATTGCATAAATATCCCGCATATTCCATCGCATTTTTAAAGAAAACAGGCCGCGTAATCAAGGATTTTTGCCCGCAACAGTCACAAAAAAACTCCGCGTTTTTCTGGAAGGACTGGTAAACGTATGTGTATGGAATATATTTAAAAACCAAAAACAAACAGTTTTATCAACTATTTCTAGAAACTATAAATACACCACATACTAGCCTATGTATTTGGCCAGTATCCAATAGTTTAAAAATGTTTAACTGACTTTTTCCACATTGACCAGAAGCTTCTATGGACATCTTAATCGACACAAAAACACTGGAACATTAATCTTTTCATTGTAATTCAAAAGATCTTTTGGATGGATGTATACAACTGGTTAGAGCGAAATAGATCTGTTGTTTGTTTCCCTCTAGTTTGCCTTATTGTGCATTGGTCTAGGAGAAATAATCACGAAAACTCTCATCCTGTCACTTAAATCTATCCCTGAATACGGCAGTATACCATGGGAGTGAATGCGGATTGTGGTGTGTGCACGTGTGCTTGCCCATAGAAGTGCTTTTACTCCCTCCGTTCATGGCAGTTCAGAACCACTCGAGCGCATTACTGTTGGAAGTTTTTTTCTTTAAGAAAAAGGTAGACAACAAGTTCCATGCACAGATGAAACACACTCTCGTATAGTTTGTGGAAGATGTCCTCTGGGCTCCAGCTTCTGTCAGCTTGTTTCCGTCCCTCACACATTGCTCTTAGTTAAAGCTCAAAGTTGGTGAGAGAAAAGACAAATGAAGCACATATGATGACAGAAACGTGTGGAATGACGATCATCAAGCTAGCTTGTATTTGCTTTCTTTGACTGGCACTGTTAGGAAGCATGCGTTGGTCTTCTGTCATGCACACAACGCAGCTCTAATGCTCATGCAGACCGGAGGAAATATCTTCTCCTTTGTATTAAAGGCATTACATTTTTCTCAGTTACAATCTTAATGAGTTTTTTTGTTATTTGAATGGTCAATAATCCTCCTTTCCAGTGCTTCTCAATTCAACATGTCCAGGGCAGCGTTCCCAAAAGCACTGCAAGCGAGTTTGGGTTTATAGACTCATGGTTTATTGGTAATAAACAGTGTTGAGTCTGTAAGGACAGCATGGATAAGCGCTACAAAATGCATTGCAATGATCGATGAGCTGTTTTGGATTATTTTATCTGGCAGTACAAACAGATATACATAAAACTATCATAAATGCCGTTTCCCACTGCTAACTAGGCAACATCACAGCTCATTCGAACTTGATCCCCTGGGCCAGCGGCAGGTCCTTGCTGTAGTTGATCGTGCTGCAAGAGGAGGAGGACAGTCTCAGGGCCAAGGTCAAATGTCAACAGGAAAAGTCATTGTCTCCAATTTACATGCTAACGCTATATTTCACTTCAAGCATGCTGGCCGACTTGCTGAGGTTGTGTTGAAGACTGACACTCACCATGTGGACCTCCTCATGTACTGCTTCCAGGAATCACTGCCCGACTCACGTCCGCCTCCCGTGTGCTTCTCACCGCCTGCACACACACGCACGCACACACACACACACACACACACACACACACACACACACACAGTCATTCCTGGTTCTGTCAAGTGTCAAACTTGTAGGATTTGCCTGACTCTGACCAATGGGATATCAATGGGGAAGGAATAAGAAAAGGAAAAGCAATGACTTGAGCTTAATGTTATTTTCACGCAAACTATTGATACAAATATTTATCACATTTTGCATTTCTTCAATTGGTGGAGTTTCCGAACGTCTACGGTACTTTCAGCATGGCCAACTGCACTAAGGTTGATCCCTATACCCCATGGCCAATGCTCATGTTGCTGCGGTGCACAGAGTGGTGTGGAACTGGTGCGGTACTGGTGCACAGAGTGGTGTGGAACTGGTGCGGTACTGGTGCACAGAGTGGTGTGGTACTGGTGCACAGAGTGGTGTGAGTGGTGTGGTACTGGTGCACAGTGGTGTGAGAGTGGTGCACAGAGTGGTGTGGTACTGGTGCACAGAGTGGTGTGGTACTGGTGCACAGAGTGATGTGGTACTGGTGCATAGAGTGGTGTGAGAGTGGTGCACAGAGTGGTGTGGTACTGGTGCACAGAGTGGTGTGGTACTGGTGCACAGAGTGGTGTGAGAGTGGTGCACAGAGTGGTGTGGTACTGGTGCACAGAGTGATGTGGTACTGGTGCATAGAGTGGTGTGAGAGTGGTGCACAGAGTGGTGTGGTACTGGTGCACAGAGTGGTGTGAGAGTGGTGCATAGAGTGGTGTGAGAGTGGTGCACAGAGTGGTGTGAGAGTGGTGCACAGAGTGGTGTGGTACTGGTGCACAGAGTGGTGTGGTACTGGTGCGGTACTGGTGTGGTACTGGTGCACAGAGTGGTGTGGTACTGGTGCACAGAGTGGTGTGAGAGTGGTGCACAGAGTGGTGTGGTACTGGTGTGGTACTGGTGCACAGAGTGGTGTGGTACTGGTGTGGTACTGGTGCACTGATACGCACCAAACGCTCCTCCGATCTCAGCGCCGCTGGTGGGAATGTTGACGTTCACAATGCCACAGTCAGAGCCTTTGGGCCTATAGTTAGACAAACAACTCTTATACATTCATGAACTCACCAAGTTTTATATAAAGACACTTCCATAACAGTCCATCTATGCTAGGCCGTATGATTTACGCAATGCAGAAAAAGTGGACGGAACCACAGAATCCAGTCATAAAACGGAATTCACTCTGTGTTTTCAGCCTCTGCCGCCTCACTATGAGGACAAACACATAAACTTCATCTCCAGAGCCGCTCTGAGCATTTTACCGTTTCATATGAGAAAAACTATCATAATTTTGACAAAAAAAAGTTTAATTTCATATGATTAAAAGAAAAATGTGCTTACATTGAAAAGCAGCCATTGTCAAGGAACTAAAGAGCCACTTGGCAGACATACCCTATCCAGCGGAAGACCCTGCCCATGTCTTTAGTGAAGATGCTGCTAGAGAGCCCTTGTTTCACTTCATTATTCCAGGCAAATGCCTCGTCCTCTGTCTAAAACCGAAAAATATGTTACAAGAAAAATATTAATCATATAATATTTTAAAGTATGCAAAATAGAATAAAATATAATATCCCACCTTGAATTTAAGCACGTAAAGGATAGGCACGAAGGTCTCTGTGTGAACTATGGGAGCGTCGTGCCGCAGTCCGGTGATGATAGTGGGTTCCACATAGTTACCTGGGCGATCCATAATCTGCCGATCAGATGTCAGAGCTCAAGTTAAATGCATCATCCAGGTCATGAAGTTACAAGGTGCAAATGCTTTAACTTCACAAACATGCTTAAATACAAGAGACAAAATGTACAAATCTCAAAGCAGCAATATGAAACAGAGGAGTATCCCGTTGGTGCGCAGTATATCGTGCTAGAACAGTGCTTATGGACGTTACTGTAGGTTTAATAGCAACCTGTCATTTGATCATCACATTGCCTGTGTTTGCCACATTGTTCAGGACTCAAACACACACTGTCATTGGTTCTTGCTGATGCGTGATATTGGGTTCCTGCAGTGAATGCAAGAATGCAGTGGGAATTTGCCTCCTATGTGATGCTAAAAAAACATCGTCCTGGATTAGAGCATCGGCTAAAGGCCTAAATGTAAACTGAATATGTTTAAAGGGCTAAAAAAGGCATCCTGACTGAGAAGCACTGACCTAGAAGGAACATCATATCAACATCAACAGTAAGTGTCCGAAGACACCCTGTTTCTGGTGTAGTAATGACGATCATGCTGCTGCTATAGGCACTGAATGCCGTTACCTTTCCCCCGCACACCAGGGTGCCGCCCTGCTGCTTGGCCTGCTCGACGGCCGCCAGATACTGTTGAACAGCCTGTGTCGTGTGCAGAGGTCCGTAGAGAGTGCTTGCTGTTACCAAATGCAGAAGAATTAATGCATGTTTGTATTTCAAACAGACAGATAACACAGTGGGTCTCATGCACTACACAATTATTAGTGAACGAGACCCATTATTCTGTACTGAACTTACGGTCCCAGGGGTCACCGATGCGGATCTGCTTGTAAGCTTTAGCGATCCTCTCCACAACCTCGTCATGTACACTTTCATGCAGCATCTAATTCAGCAGGACAGCAGATTGAAAACCAATCAAACGAAGGGATGGAATAAATTAGAAACTACAACAAACCATGGTTAAACAAGTGCTTCTCTTTAGCACACTATACTAACCAGTCTTCTGGTAGTAGTGCACCGCTGGCCAGCCGTTCCCACAGAGGCAAAGACAGCAGACGGCACAACCAGATTAAGATCCGCGTCCTCAAACACTGCGACAAAAACACTGAGCAATGACTTTATGGACTACATAAACATGGAAAGACTTCCTTGAACGAATAAGTGTGATGACACAACCTCAGACTAGCGTGACCACCTGTGTGGGCCAATGCGGGACACGGGGAGAGAGGTCGGTTCTCCACTACCAGAATATGTAAACATTTATATTAAGTCTGATGTGACGTAACTGACGTTGGATGATAATGTACTTTATACAGCTAATAAGCTTTAACTGATCAGCTCTATGACTGGCACCGCGTTTGCTCAGGTTCCAGTGATGCGATGTAATTTACCTCAGGACGTATTCAGCCTGCTAATACAATAAACTGAAAGACTAGTAAGAAAAATCACATTTCTCCTGTTGTTTCAGTGTAGTATCTACCACAAGGTAAGGTTGTTTTCGATTCTCTGGTTATTTTCTTTTTTTGCCTTCTCACAAATTTGTATTTGAATTAGACGCGTTCCCACTTTATATAACAGCCGCTCTGAATAGTATTGCAGTTTAAATTTTATAGCACTTAAGTGAGCGCTGTCCAACAGCTAGTTTCGATTTCTCCCATTATTCGGGTAATTTGCGTTTGCTGTGTTAATTGCTGGGCAGAAACAGCTGTCCTCACTCAGGCGTTAGTACGCATTATATCTATGTAGTGCGCGCGCTGTCGCGGAAGCGTATCAGCCTCCTCGTGTGAAGACCATCGACACTACCTGTGCGACCTCACCGGGCAAGGACTCCGGCAAGGCACTTAAGTATCGTCTTCTCTCCTTTTCCTTTCCCACTTCTATCGTATTTCCCTTTCTCAACATGTGCTTCCCATCTTTCCTCTGCTGTGTCATCTTCACTTCCCTCACCCTCACAATTCTCATCTCTAGATGTGAATACCGCAACAGATACTTTATGCTACACTTTAACTTCATCTTTAGACAATATCTGCCCTCTCTCCTCCAGGCCAGCACGCGCTACTCCCTCTAACCCCTGGTTATCTGAGGTTCTTCGTGAACACCGGACCAAACTCAGGGCAGCGGAGATGAAATGGCGCAAATCAAGACACGTCTGACCTGAGTATGTATCAATCTCTGCTCTCTTCCTTTTCTGCTGATGTTCACGCTGCAAAATCTTCATATTTCCACAGCAAGATCAACAGCGCCTCTAACACACGAACACTTTAAGACATTTAACTCTCTCCTCTCAGAGTTTCCGCTAGAAAAAAATGGTGCCGGTCAAAGTGACCGGCAGAGGTTTTGTTTAACGGACATTTTGATGATATGCCGGTCAAATATCGCCTCTTAATTAGTCAAGTTGAGGAAAACTGGAGGCAGGCTATGTAACTTAAAAAATGACATAATCAGGCCGTATAGAATGCAACATGTTATTATTAGCCTAACTTTCAAATAGACGGAAAAAACATGAACGTCCGATTGGCGTCAATTTAATACCAATTGTTTTTTACTATGGTTTCACACACATTCACTTTTTGAAACATTGAGGCACGGATGTACCTAATACAAATAAATAAAACATCTCCAGTTAACTAGCAGATCATTCATTTAGTTCGCTATTAAATAAGAGATCTAGCGCTAAAATCAGTTGTTTTTTAAATCAAGCTGAGCGCTCGTGTCCGCTGCTATCAGTTGCATGGACGACACGCTGCGCGAGTTGCGCAATCTTCACTCGGACGCGCGTTTCAATCTATCGCCGTTGCGGAGACTCTACACAGGCGAAGCACTGCTACTTGGGCGCAGAGATATCACGCAACACCTGAAATAAAGCTTGCCACAAAGAACCGGCGAAAGTAATGATTATGCATGAAACATTTAAATTGTTGATAAATTGATAAAGTTGACGATGCAGACTCCCCATCTTCGCAGTAGTGAACGCGCATAGAGAGAGAAATGCACACTTCATATGAATAAATTCTTATTTTTTAATCCAGGCAAATTTGTTGATGAAACATTGATTAAAATGAAGATACAATTTATACAAAACGAAATAAACTTTAAAGAAAGGCTTTCTACAAAAAAAACTAAATAGGCCTAAGTGGTCAAAAATCATGTCTGACCAATTCCAAATGTTTTCCGATATATAGGCCTATTGGTCATCTTATGATCCTATCTTACTCATCTCATGCGGTTCCCTTTTCATATAGCCTAATCAACATAGATGAAAAAAAAAAAAAAAAAACATTATATTATTTATAAAAATGAAACGTATATTTAAGTTTTTAACTTATAATAAGCGTCACACTGCTCCGCTTTGCTCACATGCTCTGGTGTGTAGTCTAATGCATGTGTGCGTGCATGTGGTGGAGGGGTGCGATTTTTGAATAATAATCAACCCAACGATCTTCGAATATTATTTTTGCTTGAAAATTTCGTTTTGTATAAATTGTATATTAATTTTAATCAATGTTTCATCAACAAATTTGCCTGGATTATTAAATAAGAAGCAAATATAGTGGACAATATAGGCTAATCAGGACACGGAGGCGTCGGCGCGTGCACACTTCTCTCTATAGGCGCGTTCACTACTGCGAAGATGGCGAGTCTGCATCGTCAACTTTATCAGTTTATCAATAATATCAATGGACCTGGCCATATTTGAAACGTCTCACTCAATCGTTCGTTGTTTAGGTCTATATTACAGCCGTTATAGGCGTGCGCTTTATTTGAAATGCAGCATGCGATGTTGTTTAACAACTTTCAAACGGTAGAGCCTGTTCCTTCATAACATAGCCAAAGGTCGGTGTATTTTTTCTTTATACATTTTAGGCTTATTTTCAAATTCATATTGTGTTAGGGGGGCGGGATTATTACGCAATTTTAATCGGACAATTTGACCGGAGAGATTTAATTTTGTCGGACATTTCGTTTTTTCCCCGGCTAATGTCCGGTAATTACCGGACAACGGAAACCCTGCCTCTGTCCACCTCCACAATCACCCACCTCCTCTTTAACTGCTGATGACTTTGCTAACTTCTTCACCAACAAAACAACCTCTATCAGCAGTCAGTTCTCAACTCCACACACACAGGAACCCAAACCATCCTCTCCCACTACCAGAAACCTTTACCTTCTCTCTGCTAACCGAGGAAGTAGTATCTAAACTTCTCTCCAGTCATCCTACCACCTGCCCTCTAGACCCTATCCCCTCTCACCTTCTACAAGCCATCTCTCCCACACTTCATCAACTCATCCCTCCACACTGGCATTTTCCCTACAGCATTCAAGCAGGCTCGGGTAACTCCTCTGCTTAAAAAAACAACATTAGACGCATCACTTTTAGAGAATTACAGACCTGTCTCTCTCCTACCATTCATTGCGAAAACACTTGAACGAGTTGCTTTCAACCAAGTGTCATCTTTCCTGTCTCTGACCAACCAGCTGGATGTCAACCAATCTGGCTTCAAGAAAGGCCATTCAACTGAGACTGCATTGCTGTCGGTCACAGAAGCCCTGCGGATCGCAAAAGCTGCTTCCAAATCTTCAGTTCTCATTCTGCTGGATATTTCTGCTGCCTTCGACACTGTGAATCATCAGATCCTTCTGTCCACCCTCTCATCACTGGGCATCAAAGGAACTTCCCTCCACTGGTTTGAGTCCTATCTCACAGGTAGGTCCTTCAGGGTTACATGGAGAGGCGAGGTATCCAAAGCACATCAACTGAACACAGGGGTTCCTCAGGGTTCAGTTCTTGGACCACTCCTCTTCTCCATCTACACCACATCATTGGGACCCATCATACAGGCACATGGTTTCTCACAGCTCCACCTCTCATTTCAACCAGATGATCCCACAGTAGCTGCACGGATCTCAAGCTGTCTGGCGGACATCTCGGCATGGCTGAAGGAACATCACCTGCAGCTCAACCTGGCAAAGACTGAGCTTCTCGTCCTCCCTGCTAATCTGTCTCCACAGCACGACTTCACTATCCAGCTAGATTCTTCCTCAATCACCCCATCAAGGTCAGTCAGAAATCTTGGAGTAATATTTGATGACCAGCTGACCTTCACAGACCACATTACAAAGACAGCTCGATCATGCAGGTTTGTAATGCACAACATCAGGAAGATCAGGCCTTTCCTAACTGAGCATGCAACACAACTTCTCGTCCAGGCCCTGGTTATTTCTAGGCTTGATTACTGCAATGCTCTACTGGCTGGACTTCCATCATGTGTTACTAAACCTCTACAAATGATCCAGAATGCTGCAGCCCGCCTTGTCTTCAACGAGCCCAAAAGGGCCCACGTCACTCCGCTGTTCATCTCCCTGCATTGGCTACCACTCGCTGCTCGCATCAAATTCAAAGCTTTGACGCTTGCTTACAGATCTACCACAGACTCAGCTCCGTCCTACTTTCACTCCCAACAAGTCTACGTCCCTACAGCCTACAAGCCTAAATCACTCTCCAGAACATTCTCATTCACGGTTCCATGCTGGTGGAATGATCTCCCCACCCTCGTCCGTAATGCAGAATCCCTGACAGCATTCAAAAGACAACTGAAAACTCATCTCTTCCGTGTGTACTTAACATAAAAAAAGAGAAAAATAATCCAAAAAAAAATTTCTCCTCTTTTAAATCTTCCCTTGTCTGGCTTTTGCTACTCTGAGCAATGCCTGAACTTTGTATTTTGAGCACTTCTTGCGACGTTCTTCCCTCTTCACGATGACTCGCTTGCTTTAGTCCTCAGATGTAAGTCACTTTGGATAAAAGCGTCTGCTAAATGACTAAATGTAAATGTCATTAGGTACCCTCTATGCATCTTGAACTTGTTTGATCTGGGGCTTCCGGTGACGTCATCTAACTGATGGCAGCTTGAAAAGTTAGCTCTCCGACTAAGCGATAGAATTTAGCCCCGAAACACGAGAAACAAACTCGAATTACCATTATTGTAGTCATGGAAGAGGGGGCTCAAGTACACACTAGGCGAAAACAAAAAAAGCAACAGCAATCTGGAAAATTAGAGCGAGATGCACGGGGGCAAAATGCCGAGTCGCC